TAACAAAGAGTGAAAAATTTAAGGGGGTCTGAATACTTTCCGTACCCACTGTATATATCAGTCTAGCGCGTAAACTAAACAATTTACTAGCCAATGGCGATTCAATTGCCAAGATGTCCGTAGAGGGTTGTGATCTGTAGAAAAGCATTTTCAAAGCACTATACTGTTGTATAACTTTGTTTGGCTTAACTGTTAATGTCTTCTCCAGGTGTGTCTGGTGTTGAGAAAGGTAGAGTGTCAGTGTTTGTGATGAAGGGAGATTCAGTCAGTCTACACACTGATGTTAAAACAAACCAACAAGAAGATATTAAATGGTATTTTAATGACATTCGCATCGCTCAAATCGCTGGAGATCTCAGTTTTAACTGTACAGATGTTCAGTGTAATGAAGGCACTGAGAGATTCAGAGACAGACTGAAGCTGGATCATCAGACTGGATCTCTGACCATCACAAACACCAGAACCACAGACTCTGGACTTTATGAATTAAAGATCATCAGCATCAGAAACAGCAGTGAAAAGACCTCCAGTGTTACTGTTTATGGTGAGTCATTTAATACATTTAATGATTGGGCCCATTTAAAAGATTACAATGAGTGTGAATGTTTGTTTGAATGAAGATTTAAATAAGGAAATAATACAGAGATACTTGTTGCTTTTTAAAGAGCATGATTAAATCAATTTCAAATCCATAGTTCTTTGATGTTTTGTGCATGTTTTGGCATAAATATCCTTCCAGTCATCGGTTGGTTTGTGTTTCAGATGTTCCTGCTGCTGAACGAGATGAAATGAAGACAAAGTCAGTGAAGGAGGGAGAATCTGTCACTTTAGATCCTGGTGTAGTAAAAAACCCAAATGATTTTATGACGTGGTATTTTAATGACATTTGCATCGCTGAAATCACTGAAGAACCCAGAAAGATCTGTACAGATGTTCAGTGTAATGAAGGTCCTGAGAGATTCAGAGACAGACTGAAGCTGGATCATCAGACTGGATCTCTGACCATCACAAACATCACAATCACAGACTGTGGACTCTATAATCTACAGATCACCAGCAGCAGCTTCAGCATCATTAGGAGCTTTAGTGTTACCGTCACTGGTGTGTATCATTGAGTTTATTTCCCTTGAGCAATTTTAAAATAGTTAAATGTTTGTTTTTTTAATCAACCCAGTAATGTTTTCCATTGTGGATGTTTTTTTTTTTCATTGTGTTTGAAAAAGTGAGCTTAGACTCAGTATCAAATGGAGTGGAACATTTCAGGAAACTTTTCAAAAACTTCTGAAAGTTTCCAAAATTTCTAGAATGTTTCTGAAACTTACCGGAAAATTTCCACCAGTTTGCAACCCTAGTATTAAACTATAATTGAGATCGTCACCTTCATGTAAAGTGACACAACCAAGACATGCTCTGCACAAGACTCATGTTAACATTAAAATTAGTCTGTTTTTCTGACAGCTCACAGTAATGTGATGCTGTTTAAGCTGCTGCTCTTCAAAACCCACCAGATCACATTATTTATGAGTTAAATCAATATCAGCTGACGACTAAAGCAGGAAAAGTGTAAATACTTGAAAAACACATTGGTAAAAATCATTGGTAAAAATAGTTGCTCTTTAGTAATAATGACTGTTTCTCTTTATCTGTTTCAGATTCAGGTCTGTCTTCAGCTGCTGTAGCAGGAATTTGTGCTGCTGCTGCTGTTGGTGTCCTGCTGCTGATGGCTATATCTCTTTATTTACTGCACCGTCCAGTAAGCAGGAAAGGTGAGTATTAAATTAAGCAATGGGAAGTCAGATTTTTTCCTGCGAAACTGGTTCTTTCAGACCGTTTGTTTACATAACCTTTTTCAAAAAATGATTCACCAGTTCGTTTACGTCAATACTAGGGGGATATACCAATCATGTTTTTTGCACCCCAGATTTGGGTCATTTACCATCCTGATCATGTATGGACATGTATTTTCCTAGTGTTAGGTGCACACTTAAAGTACATTTTAATTATAATGAATCCGATGTATACAGGCCAATGCATATATATATATTGTAAAGGCAAAAAGTAACTGTAATCTGATTATGAGCATTATAAAATGTAATATATTCTAATTACTAGTGCTTGGTTTTTGGAATCTGGATAGTAATTCAGAGTACATGTAATCAGTTACTACCCAGCTCTGCTTACACATACAGCTGAATTAACAAGATGGAAATTGTGTGTAAAGAATTTTTTGAGATTAGTCTAATCAACTAAAGTAATGAGTGTTTAATTGAGTTTGTTATTGTTGTTTAAACAGACACCAGGACGCAGCACAATGATCGGGTAAGATACTAGGAGCGCTGAATCAGTTTGCCTACCAAAAAATCAGAATTAAGATCTGCAAGTTGGCACCATGTTTGTGTGATTTATGTGGTTTGATTCAGAAATCATTACATTGAAACACCAATAATAACTGACATGAGGACAGCGTTTTACTTACTGTTTTAAGTTATAATAGACAATGGTGTGGATACATTTTATATTATTATATAATTACAATAGTTTATTAGATTATATTATTATCAGAATTGTATTTAATATTTTATTTTATTTTTTATATATAAAAAAAGTGCAAGGGTGCCAATATTTTTGACCACCAACTGTATATTACTGAAGTACGGAGGATGACTGTGTAATTACACTTCCTATTTTTTTGTGTAGGTGAATCGTTTGTCCTGTTCATTTTTTTTAACCTACTGTGAATCTGTTTTCTTACAGGCGAATGGTGTTAACGATTTGTCGCCTAATCAGAGTGACGTTCCACTGGTGGATGATGGTAATGAGAGGTCCATTAATCACCATTAATCACACTGATGCTCTAGTGAAGAACACTACCAATGACTCGTCCTCTAATAATATTGAGATTGAGCCTGCGGCTGCCAGTGAGATTTAAAAACAAAAAATAATAATAATAAGGAAAGAAGTCTACCTATTTATTTGAAGAGAATTAGCTCAATTTTCCAGTTTTATATTAGCGGTGATTGTTAGTTCCCTGCATGCTTTCTGAAGGATCATGTGATACTGAAGACTGGAGTAATGATGCTGAAAATTTAGCTTTAAACACCGCAATCAATTACATTTCAGAATATATTCAGATAGAAACCAATTATTTTAAATGGTAAAAATATTTCACAATTTTACTGTTTTTGCTGTACTTTGGATCAAATAATTGCAGGCTTGGCGAGCAGAAGAGAATTATTTAAAAAACATTAAATATCTTAATGTTCAAAATCTTTTGACTGGTAGTGTAGGCGGATTATTCTTATAGATTGAAACAAATGTGCTTCAGCCAGGATAAAGAGAATGAAAAGTGCTCTGAGCTGCTGCAGAAAACCAAAAAAAAAAAAGCAAAAACAAACACATGTTGCTTGAAGACGGGCTTATTGAAAATGCAAATTGAATCTCTGCCAGCAGGAGGCGCTTTGAGCTTCGCTCATGAATGCTACTTTATCAGGTAAAAATGAAAATGCCATCGAAACTTTTCTGAAGACAGTCGGTTCTCATCAGAGATACACTCATATAAAACACCTGTGCCGCGTTTTGATTTTGAAACGTGCAGTGCTCATGTTTATTCAATGAAGTCAACCACCACAAATAAATAAATGTATGGGAAACACTGGTAATGTATATCGAAATATCGGAAATGTGTTTAAAAATCATATCACCGTTATTGAAAAAAATTATATTCCAATACATATATATATTGAATTATTGTCCAGCCCTACTAGTACATAGTTTACTAATGACAATATTTAGCCACTATTTTGCATCATGGTGCTTCATTAGCTTAAAAGATATATGTGACGGACACTAGCGTCATTGTACTGAAGGATAAGAGCTGTAATTACAGTAAAGCATTACTGAGTGCTGATATGCGCAATTTTGATGCGCGGGTTAAATGACTAGTCTGCAAACGGGGACGTGCGTGAACTGGAAAAATGTGGGCACTAATGGCTCCTTGCGAGGGACATGAGAGCTGATACTGAAGACTGGAGTAATGATGCTGAAAATTTAGCTTTAAACACCGCAATCAATTACATTTCAGAATATATTCAGATAGAAACCAGTTATTTTAAATGGTAAAAATATTTCACAATTTTACTGTTTTTGCTGTACTTTGGATCAAATAATTGCAGGCTTGGCGAGCAGAAGAGAATTATTTAAAAAACATTAAATATCTTAATGTTCAAAATCTTTTGACTGGTAGTGTAGGTGGATTATTCTTATAGATTGAAACAAATGTGCTTCAGCCAGGATAAAGAGAATGAAAAGTGCTCTGAGCTGCTGCAGAAAACCAAAAAAAAAAAAGCAAAAACAAACACATGTTGCTTGAAGACGGGCTTATTGAAAATGCAAATTGAATCTCTGCCAGCAGGAGGCGCTTTGAGCTTCGCTCATGAATGCTACTTTATCAGGTAAAAATGAAAATGCCATCGAAACTTTTCTGAAGACAGTCGGTTCTCATCAGAGATACACTCATATAAAAATGAGTTTAAAAATCATATCACCGTTATTGAAAAATTTTTTTTATATATATATACATATATATATCACGATACATATTGATATTGAATTATTGTCCAGCCCTTGGTTTTATTTGTGAAAATTTCCCAATATTTTCTATACAACACTGAACCACAATTTCTTTAATAAAATATACACACTATTTTTAATTATCACCTTCATTTTTTTAAATGAAAATTACAAGACCCAAGGGTTTTAATTTTTGTTTTGTTTTTTTAACAGTGCACTGAGAGTGTTTATGTTCCATGCCTTTATGCATTAATGATGTGGGTTGTGTTTGAATGATGAAATGGCAAATGAAATGCCTAATCTTTGATATGTGAAAAAAGGAATCACAGTGAAACAATAACATATGGTCTTTGCGGACAAAATATTTGTGATATTTTATGAACTGCTGCTGATTAGTTTAGCTCACTGGCAAGTTAAAAATTTTTTATTTAAATTTTAAATAGTATTGTTTTTGTGTGTATGCATGAAGCATCTGATTTTGTATTTTTGAATATATTTGTACATTTTTATACATTTTATTATACAACTTGAAAGATTTGTGTTTCCTGCAATAAATGTCATTAAACATTTGATTGACTCATAACAGCTGGAATCTGTGAGTTTGTATTCAGAAATAACTGAACTAACTAAATTCCTCTAAATTAGAGGAATCACTGTGTGGCTCTGTACAATCTGTCATCAACTTTCACCTTTAAAGTATTAATTTTTTTAATCTGTCAATTCCTGGTTTTGACACTAGAGGACGTTCCAGCGGTATATTATGCACTGAGTGTCTCATTTCATAAAAATAAAAATGTTGTATTGCCTACTAATAAATGAACATAAAAAAAGTGGTCACATGACCCACAGGGGTCCATTTTGTTTCCTCTTTCAGGACATGTGCACGTCACATGACTCCATATTTTGTCCAATGAAAAGTGCATTTTTCATCAATTTCCTACAAAAAAATCTTAGTCACCTTCATTGGAAAGTGAAGTATTTTCAAAAACTTTGCATAATATTTCATCAAATGTATCATAGGAAATTACAAAAAACTGCATGTTGCCTCAAGGCAACATTGTACCGCAATGGAATCGCATAAGGCCATGCAGGCATACTAGGTTAGAATACAAGTATATGATATTTGTAAGGAAAAGAGTTAGAATTATCTAAATGTAATAGAATTTTTGCATGATTTTGTAATGCATTTGCAAGAATAGTAATTCTCATACTATTTCTGCACATATTATGATTTGTCTGTTGAGAGGAATTGCTTCCTCAGCTTTCACAAGCAATGAGGTGTCATTAGTGAAGTAGGAGATTTTGCATGCATGTGCTTGTGTGTGCATGTGCATGCTTGAAAGGATAAAGTGCATATTAGTATAAGGTTATGATGATTTTTCATTTTTTACTTTGAAACAACACTGATTATAATGTTTTGGTATGGCAACAGATATGATAGTTTAGTTATACTTGTGATCCACGATGGTACAATGTTGCCTGAGAGCAACAGCTGGATTACTTTGAAACAACACTGATTATAATGTTTTGGTATGGCAACAGATATGATAGTTTAGTTATACTTGTGATCCACGATGGTACAATGTTGCCTGAGAGCAACAGCTGGAAATGAAATGTTATTTTTTATTAAATGTCAGATGTGCAATGCATTAAAAACTAGATAAATCAGTTTGTTCAAGTGTTTGGTTAAAGAAATTTGTTTTCAATAAATATATTTCTTTTTTCTGCATGAAAATGTCAAATGTTTAAATTTGTCCGTTGTGGTACAATGTTTCCTTGAGGGAACATACTTAAAAAAAAAAATAATAATAATAAAAATGTTTATTGATATTGTTATAGTGTCCAATTTTAAGTAGGAAAAACATCACAAATATTTTTTTTTCTCATTGATATATTCCGTACTGTAGAGGGTTAAATTATAAATATATATACACACACACAGTATATTATTTTATTATTATTAAGCATTACTGCTACTTTTCTTAGTTACTCCCCAAAACTAAAGACATTTTTAAAATGCTGAACATCTGCATGATACCATAAATATCACAACAGTAAATCATATTTTTCATTTTTTTCTACAAAAACGATATTTAAAACGTATGTGAGATTAAGAATAGTTAGAATAAGAATTGTTCGAATTAACTTCTGTTTTTGCTAGAGCTGGTAAAAACTCTTGAAACTAGCAGAGCTTGTCTACAGGGTCACAGCATGAGTTCATAAGATCATGGATTTATAGTGAGATGGATATGCCCTTCAACATCAAGTTCATGTTTCATAGACACAAAGTACATGATGTTTGTTTGATTGGAGAGAATCTTTTTTGTTTTGTGTACAGAAGAGAACTGTGTCGAACTGTTAAAAGCATGGGCAGAAATGGAAAAACACCCTTTGACCACATGCTATAGACACAGACACAGTGTTGACACCTCAGACACAAACTCATGAACAGACATCAAACACAAACATACAGCAGCAGACACATTCTCACGCAGAAGATGTTTGTCTATCAAACCGCATTTCACAGAATGAAGCGGTTCACGTCGACTTGTTTTGATGAACATTTTACATTTATGGTGTGCAGATATACATCTCCTCAATTCGTTTTTAGACCAAAAAAAAAATAATTAATTAAATTCAGTCATTTACTCACCCTCATGTCATTCAAAACCCCTAAGACTTTCATTCATCTTCATTTTCATCCATTTAATGAACATTTTCAAGCTTCAAGAAGTATATAAATTCATAAAAGTAATCCATATGAATCAAGCGGTTTAATATAAGTCTTCTGAAAAGACATGATCACTTTATGATGAACAGATTTAATTTAAACTTTATTCATATACAAACACTGATCAATGCACATACATAGAGCTCATCAAATATGGTCAATGCAAGCTCAAATCAGCATGCTTGATGCACAGAAACCTGTGAAGTTTGTTCTCGCACATCAAATAAGTCTTTTTTAAAGTTTGAAAACAGACTTTCAATGGATGGACAAAAAAATTGAGAATATTAAAAATATGACAATATGACATGAAATGTGTTAGAATATGCTAATCATGTGAGCATCTTGTTAAAACATGTTAGCGACATGCTAATCATATTAGTATGATGCTAGCAGCATGGTGGTGATTCTTACCAATCTGAAAACTCATGCATAGACTGATTCTGAGGGTGTATTTGGGACTTAAAAGCCTGAAGGTTGGTCATTTTCTCGTGTTGACAGTTGCATACGTTACATGGTCCTTCTCTTTAACTTTCTGTACAAAAAAATATTATACAATATATAATACTGATAAAATTATTTAAAATGTGGCATCCTGAAAATTGAATGTGATTCAATACGAAATCGTATTTATTTTTTCGAATAACAGTAATATGGTGGTCCTCCTATACTGCTAAGGTAACGTGAAGCAGATTGAGATTGGGTTCTCAGTTGTTTTGCTTTAGGGCCCACATTTTATGTTGGCCATCAATTAGTGACTCAACACAATTTTTTATTTTTGAAAAGTAAACATTTTCTTTAATATCAAATATGGAAATTAAGTAATACACTTTTAGGGTGCTTATAATAGTAATATGGACCCTTAAGATAGTAATGTGTGCTCTTATGGTACTACTATGAACCCTTTTGGGGTAAATACTATATATATATATATATATATATATATATATACAGTGGGTACGGAAAGTATTCA